CAAAACCAGAAATTTTAGAATGACTGTCTTTGATTTGAACTTTTTCCTACTTGTTATCATAGCCTACACCCACTGACTCAGTCACATACAGTTAATGAGCGTGGTGCACACATCAACAGGTTCCCATACATTACACACGTAGAACAGCAACAGAACATTACTAGAGCTAAAAGGAACTGACAAGACACTGGTAATGTTTGCATTTGTAATTTTATATAACACCCAAATGTTGTTCTGGTTCTTCTTCTGTGTCAGAAGATATATATATATATATATATATATTTATTATTTATTTTTTTAATTTTGACTCGTTTTTGCTATAATTATGTGTACAAGTAAAACAGAGAACGGTACAGTTTTCACTCTGATCCAATAATACATATTGTTACACACATTTCCTTACTGTTTGAGCCAATCAAATGTGTGCAGTTAAAGCAAGTAATGCACACGTTTTCTCATGTGATCGACCAGGTTGCTGCAAGTTGCTTATCTTTTCATCTGGTGGTATATTTGTGGCTTGAACGAGAAGTTCTTGTGTACTTGAAAAAGATCTGAACAGAGTAAACAGTCATGTTTACTACAGAATGATTTTTCTTCTTTGAGCCCAATTTCTTTCAGAGAGAAAAGGTAAATGTACAATGTAAAGGCTGGACTTGCAGATATTTGCTCAAAGTTTCCAAACTTGCCCTGCTTGTCTTGCACTTTTCCCGTGCGATGACGTTTCTGTTTCATGCCCACACTAAACAGACTGACAACACCTTACTCCCTGTGGACTGGAATGATGAGCCAACCAGAAGAATAACCGAATTTGTGAGCCTTTCAGTTGGGCACAGGCTGGCATCTTGAGTCTCCTCTCAGTATCGTCACTGGATGTATCTGAAATTCTGAGCTCGTTTTATGAACAATGAGCTACGAGCAGCATTTTAACTTAAGTGGCCCTCACACTTCTCACTCAAACGAACATGGTGCGTATGACATGTTCGCAGTGTTAACCACTTGACGGTTTCTTGTAATCAGGTTTGACATGTTGATGCATCAGGACGGGAGCTACACGGACACTTCTGGTGAATTCCAGGGGACAGTACAACCGTGCATCCCTTGTTAAAACACTGACCATCCACGATCAAGGTGGTGGGGGTGTTCTCATGTGTTCAAACACCTGTAGATGCTGACATTTGAGGCTAGCCTGCACACGTCTTTTCCTGTGCAGACACTTGTCAAGTTCTCAAACCACTGGACAGTGTGATCTCATCTATTCCCCTCAGAAGAAAATTAGCATTTAAATGTCACCTTGCACTACATGAGAAGGAAACTGCTAGAAGTGATGCACCTGCTAGTAATATCAAGACTGTCAGGCCCCCCCCCCCCCCACCACCACCACCACCACATTCCTCAGCACATACTATCCCCCCCACTGGCAGTTGAACTACTCGGATCACCCCCCCTCACCCTGCATCAGTGCTGACTCACGCACCCAGTGCTGATCAGTTGCACCCAGCACCCCACACATCCAGTGATGATGCTGATATTTACACGAACAGAATGTCTTTGATCCACCTACGGAGCTTTTTAATGTTTTTGTGTACGAAGGGGTTTCGTATTGTTGTTTTGCTGAATGAATCAAAGTGTTACTGAACTAAAGAAAAAGCACACCCAGACTACGAGGTGATTAAAGTCTCGGTTTAATCTGAGTCGGTTTACATCACCACAGCAGCGGGATGTGCGCAGTCGACTTCAGAGGAACCAAGATGACTGATGCACTCTGCAGGAATCTGCGGCAAACTGTTACTGTACAGCCGCAGAGGCTTTTCACGGTAATCTGGGTAAGCAGGACTACCCGTCAGTGTTGTGGTTTGGAAGAAGTGAACCTATGTCGAGCTGGAGAGGCTGGGGCTTGACACTTCTTTGTAATTTGTGGGTGAAGGAAGTGTGAGGGCGACCCACACCAGAGACTCGGAGTGAGGTGAACGGCAGCTTGAGACCATGTCAAGGAGCTGCTTTTTAGTTAAGGGTCTTATGTTTTATAAAGTTTAAAAATGTTGAAGAAAAAAAATTACTTGAAGCATCTTTACTGTGACATCAAAGGAAACAAACCATTACTCATCACTCTACTTTAAGTTCAGGGAAAAGAAGTCATCAGCAGCAAACAATGACATAACAAGGCTAAATGTAATTGTAGGTGTCTTTATACTTTTGATACATGCTAGTTTTCTGTTTATCTATAAGCGAAATATAGATATATATTTTGATATTGGAACCTGTCCAGGTTCCAACCTGCTCCTTCCATAATGACTGCTGGAGAAACACACCAGCTCCCACATCTTAAATATGAAGCGGGCAAGAAAATCAATGGATTTATGGATGGATAAATGGATATTATTCTAATAACAATTACAATTACATAATCACACTTAGCAATAATCATGCTTTAAGTATAGTTAAAGAGCATTTCACTTCTGAATATTTTTTTTTACCTCAATCAGCACTCCAAAAAAACAACAATGAAAACAATCACGCTCAGGGAGTAATACTAATAATAAAAGTAAATCTTAATTTGTACAGCACATATTTTACACTAAAAATATTCAAAGTGCTGTACAAAAACTGACAAAATGTAGTTTAACTGTAATAAAGTGCAATCTAACTGCAAAAATTCAAAGATAAAGGCTTAAAAAATACAACAAATGTAACATTAGCTAACAATAAAAGTAGAAAATAAGTTTTAGGATGCTTTTTAAAAATAATAGTTTAAAAAGTCAACAGCTCTTAGGTTTTTTGGAAGAATATAGTTCAGTGATGTTTTTGATAAAAAAAATAAAATAATTGGGAACGCAGAATGTTTGTAGAATTTACAACTTTCTAGTTCTGTATGTCCTTTAAATGTTTGTTTTAGTTGGACAAGACTGAATAAATTACATACTGTATTTTTCAGACTATAAGGCACACCGGATTATAAGGTGCATTAAGCGAAACAAAACAGTCAAATAAGTCCAACTTTATTCAACTCATTCAAAATAACCACATAAAATCAGTTCGAAGTCAGTAAGTACAATCAGAACTAATACATAAGGCGCACCTGATTATAAGGCTCACTGTCAGTTTTTGAGAAAATTAAAGGATTTTACGTGCACCTTATAGTCTGAAAAATATGGTAATTCACAGATTTGGTCTGAGGCTCTTCTGTTTTTGATAAAACCAGTTTGCAAGCTTCAGTGCAAGTTCTTATTTGAGAAATGTAACAAAGATGGTATAGTTCCTCCTCCCAGTACAATGCTCACCTACAAAATTCTGTGTTTTACTGTGAACTTTCTTTTATGAGTGCAATAACAAAAAGCGTGTCATATTAAAACAACAAATATAAAGTGGAACAAACACCGCGGAGTGATTCAACCGTTCCACACCCAATCGGAGCTTAGTTTTTACGTTTCTATTTGACAAGAAGTTTTTGTTTCCTTTTGTATTTTTGTAGTTTGACTGAAGTTTAAAAAGGGATACCATCACATGTAGCTTTTCTTAAAGGAAGTTGGCTGCAATTTTGGCTTCACAGAAATGAACCTGTGGCTTAAGGAGTCACTGCAACTCCAGGCTAAAAGCTGAGAGACTTCTTATCTTCATCTTGATGTTTATCTCCAAGAAAGTTTTACTATCGAGTGTAATATTTATGTCAGCATTTGACACGCAAACGAGTAGAAACTATACTTTAGGCCAGAGCTATTAAATATAACCACCACATTATGCATGTAGGCACTTTTGATTTGAGTTGAAAGCTGCATGTTTAGTGCTCTTTAGGTTTCTTTTTCCAGAGAAATTTAGCTCAGGACATGAACTGGAAGAAGAACTAATTTTTAAGTGTGACAAGTTTCCTCCTTTGACATGATTGACCACAAAGAGTTACAAGTTTCAGTCTTCTGCCTGTTGCCTCTCAGGAAAAATCTGAATAAATGTTCCCCACAGTTAACATGGCACCATACCAAAAGGTATACATGTGTATGAAAAAACTAAAAATAAACAAACAACCAAACAAAGGCCTTAGCATTCTTTGAAGAAGCGCACATTGGCTGCCACCTTTGACAGAGATTTAAACATATAAACCATCTTATGATGAGGCTGGAATCGTAGCCAACTGCATAAAAATGTGTACATTTTACTTTGTGTGATCTCAAGTAGTCTTACGAGATGTGTTACAGCTATAAATATAATGTTGGGGGTGAGTATCTGTTACTACCACCAAATTTATCTCAATTTCTGTAAATTTGACTGAGTTTTAAACTGTCCAGGATCAAAGCCAACCTGGACCCAGCATACAATTGTTGCAAATAAACCCCAGCTACACTCCTGCATACATTCTGGACCTGTCCCAAACTGCAGACTTTTGGGCAATCTATCTTTGACACCTTCTCTGGAATATGTGGCAAAACTGTTAACATATCACCATTCATTTCACTGTTCGGGGCAGTCCCTATGCATACATCACACAGATGTGAGAGGGATATGATTGACTTTGGCTCTCTTGACCAGGAGGCTGACTTAGTGCAACTGGAAGGACCCACACCCCCCAACATATATACATTGGATAAGAGAGGTGATGCACCACATCCATTTGGAACAAACAGGACATACCCTGAAGGGTTCTGCAAAAAGATTCTGGGACACGTGGCAGCCCTTTGTGTTATATGTGGCGAACTTGTCAGTACCTGTTTGATTTATTTTTGTTTATGTATGTGTGGTTGATCTGGTGGGGGAGGGACGAGGTGGGAGGGTTTTTTGTTCTTGTCAGTTTGATCTGTGTGTTATTAAAAATGCAAAAATCAATAAAAAGACCTTGTTTAAATTTGCCTGAGTTACAGCCAGTTTTGTGTTGGTTTAGGACAATTAATTGTGGCAGCCATCTAGAAATGACTTCACTTCAACACACACACGCACGCACACGCACACACAGGCTAAATCATAATCAGTTATTTGCCTTTAATGGTGGACAATAAAGACAAGCAGAGACGACATTTAAGGGGCCATTCACTTTTATTACCGTTAATTTAACCAGATTAAATTAGTCAAACTTCTAACAATACAGTTACACTGAAAACATTTTGCCAAATAAAGAACTGTGTTTGAATTATTGGGAAACATGTCTTTGGTTAAAGGTTTCTAATGGGAATGAGGACCAGCTCTCCGAAATCAGACAACCGCTCTTACATTTCTAAGCTTTATCACAAATCAGTCGTTTGGTTCAACTTGTGCTTCGTGCCACTGCTTGTCAATTAGAGGACAAGTATTTACATTTCTGACTATTTTCCCTTTTTATTTTTTTTCCTCATACATGCTTGTAATTACATGTGAAACACATGACCCTTGTTCCAACTGATTATTACGTACAATTTAAATAAAAAATACAGAATAATTACATCCAAAACACAGCATTGTAAAAGGCAATAATGCAGCAATTAAAACCTCAATAACATAGTTTACATTTCATCGGGAAGGTATAGGGGACAGACCAACAAAGAAGTCTAGAATTGGACTGAGGACGTCGGTACAAATGTGACTGAACTAGAGTATACACCGTTCTACGTCTGCTAAATGCTGGTAGGAAACCTTCAGTGGTTTGGGAAACACAGGCAAGCTTCTTCTCATCTATGGTTTCAGAAGTATCATTACAAGATCAACTGACTTAAACTGTGAACATACAATGTTTTCATTCACTAACGTAGCTGTACAAAATATACAAGGGCTATGACTTTGTCCTCAACTTGTCATAACTCAGCCACAACCCCGCTATTAAACCTGCCCGACAAGACAAACCCAAATTATGGCAAGTTTAAACTCAGTACTTCATTAATCAGAACGTCTCGCTCTTTTTTTTAAATGCAAGAAAACAAACAAACGAACGAACGAAAAACACTCCACAAGTTGTAATAATTTACTCAACTTCCTCGAGGAATTAAAAAAAAAAGAAAAAAAAAAAGCAAGCTTTATAGAAAATGGTCTGCAAAACAAACCAACCAACAAAAACAGAAGAAAGTACAAGTTGATTTTGGTATGGAGCATATACGGTAAAAACCGATGACCCAAAAGTGACATTCTACAGTGTGACCTATTTTAATCAAGATGACCAAATGATGGAATTTAGTGGTTTTAAAAAAAAAAAAAAGAAAAATTAAGCCGACACATTGATCAGTAAAGAATTAGTCAGAAAAAAAGGGGACAATCCCTTTTTTATGTACTTATGCAGCGTTGGTCACCAATGTGAAAAACTACGAGTCATTCTGTGAAAAGCTCTTTCATGAGACAAGTAAATAAAACTTTTATAGAGTACTATCATCTAGTGTTAATGAGTTTAGTCAAAGTGGCATAAAAAAACTATGACCGTGTGTTTCTAGGAGTCCTATGCTGACACTTTACGCTCCACTGCTTTGTGCAGGACGAGACATCCAATTAATCCTCGGCTCAAATATACATTCGCAAAATGTGAAATGCTACACGAAGTGACGACGAGCGGATCAGACATTTTGTCTCCTAGAAGGTTTGGGCTTCACTACTCCCACTAAGGTTTACTAAAAGGGAAGTGATGAAACAAAAGAGGATGGAGTCTCAACGTCTACCTTGAATACATTCAGAAAGTAGTTGCTTTGTCGTCGTCTTGTGCTGGTTTTTACAACAGTCCGTTTTCAATCAGCCATGTTAGGAAAATGTTTCTCTTTCTCTTAACAGCACAATTATTATTATCATTATCGTTATTATTATTTTTAATATATTATTCCATTACATTAATGTAAATTAATCATAGAAACGTCTACATCTAGTCGTATGTACTTCTTATATACAGTGTCCATTTTGAAACGGTGACATTTGGGACACTTCAAAAGGCAATGACAGGAACAACACAAATAAACAGCATCATACACTAAGATGTCATGCGTTTGGTAAATTAGTGGACTTCGGATTAGTCGGTTTTAGACTTCTTTAGGAAGCAGAACAAACAAAGCCAACCAAATTCGTAATTAAATAAGCTGAAAGTTGTTTGACATGTTTTGCCCAAATAATAAAGATAACACAAGCTATTTCCTCCGAGATAAAAGTGTTTTGTACCATCAGCTCATACTGTACTTCTGTGTCACTTACTGTGTTTTTCTGTCACTTATTTCGAAGTCTGTCTCATACATTCAACCACCTACGGATCAATTTTTAATGCCGTCTGACGTCGCAGTAAGCTGAAGTGAACTATAAGCTATAGGCTGTCATTCACACCCATCTACACCGGTATATATTTAACTGTGGTACAATCTCAACAGAGAAACTGCTACTGAAAAACAAATATCGTAAAGCATTATGCATCATTCAAAATTAAACTCTAGTGTAGGTCAAGTCATGCCACAGGGACGACATGGATTTTTCCAGGGTCATGAACAGAATGTGGCACAGCTAAACCTAAAGTAAAGTTGATTCCAACATGGTATCTCATTGTTCACATTATGATGAAAGGCTATGATTCAGAGAACCATAGGGGAATCAGTTACTTAAGACCGTCAAAGGGAGTGCAGATGGATTTTAACTTTATTGGGGATTGTGTGTTGGGGGGGGGACAAAACATGTGGTCAGGCATGACTTGCTGGCAAAGCACCCAGTGCTTCAGTTCATCTGTTCAAAGAATTTGTAGGTGGGGTTTTCGTAGCCGTGGTTCTGCATTTTGTTGAGCTGCCTTTCCTCCGGGGTCAGCATAGGGTCGACCTGCTATGAAAGAGACGAGAGCTTGAATAGTATTGGTAAAGACAAATTCATAAGGACTGCACCTGTCAACTGTTTCTTTAAAAACTGAGAGAGAAGGATGTGAGCAACTATGGAGGATGGGGAAACTCCCAATCATAAAATCGAGGGTATCAAAACTTGTGAAAAGATCCTGAGTCAGAAATGATGTGCAGCTGAATGACTTGAATTTGTTAATTCTTCCGCTTAGCTTCCAATTCACTTCTGACTGACTAGGGAACTGCTGCAGTGTTCTCCTGTGCTTGTCCTTGTTTTCAACTCCTCTGTCTTCAGAAAACTTCTGCAAATAAAACACTAATGCAAACCTTAAAGGTTAACTAACTCAAATACTTGAAGTATAAATTTGTTACATGTCTTAAGATGGTGTAAAAGTGTGTGATGATGTATTTTTAAGCAAACAGGCCCAATTTGATTTGTATTTTTTTGGTTTCTTCCTTTTTGCTCTACTTGTCTGTATCCTCATTGGCTGAACCTGTGAAGGTGCTGCTCAGAGCAGATCAACACTTTGGCGTATGGTCTTTATCCGATTTTTCATTTTGGTTTAGTAAACGAAAAACGAAAAAAACAAGTGTGTTTTTGGTTTTTCATTTTTTTCATTTCAAACGAAAAACAAACTGCCTGAGTGTACATGGACCCAGAGTTGCATTTGGGCCTAAAAAATCAGGCCCGGCCCGAAATCGTAGGGTTTTTTTCTGAGCCTGACCCAGACCTGACGGATAAATTGTAATTACAGGCCCAGCCCAAAAAAATAAACCTGACATTTTTTAAAATTAAGCTTTTACTGCTTTTGTAAACAAATCAGTTTGACATATTTTAAAAAGGTATTTTAGCAAAAGCAAGGTACAAGATTTCTTGTTTCACCAAATGGATATTAACATACAAAATGAATAGCCTAAAAAAATCAACTCTAAATATAGGCTATTATATAGATGAACAAAAATATATTTAGAGCAAAATCATTGGGAAAAATATAGCACAAGGCTATTTTAACTGAACGCGCTGCTCGCTTCGGCTTTTGTACATGCTGCTACTTCCTTCAGCGTAGATGACAGCAAGTGCGGAGAAGCGCACGGCGGGTGATCAGCTGATCCATCTGAACTTAACGCAACTTATTTTTTTATCTCTTTCAACCGGCCGGTCGGACCTGCCTCCTCCTCTACAAGTAGATTAACACAATTTTATATTGTGCATTCTTATTTAGTTTTCTTTGTGCTGTATGATTCGTAAAACTGCATCAAAGCCCAAGACCAACAAGGCCCGCCCATCCAGCACAATATTTTGGCTCGGCCCGGCCCGAATTTCTGGTCGGACCGGGCTGGGCGTGGGCCCGGGTTAGAAATAACAGCTCTACCGTATGGTCAGGGGCTTATTTATTTTTTGGCTGTGGTTGGTTATTGAGACCCATCCATTATCTTTACCCGCTTATTCCATTTTGGGTCACGGGGGTTGCTGGTGCCCATGTCCAGCAATCACTGTGCGAGGGGCGGGGGACACCCTGGACGGGTCGCAAGTCCATCACAGGGCCACATAGAGACAAACAACCATTCACTCTCTCACTCACACCTAGGGACAATTTAGAGTTACCAATCAGCCTAACATGCATGTTTTTGGTCTGTGGGAGGAAACCGGAGCACCCGGAGAAAACCCACGCATGCACGGAGAGAACATGCAAACTCCACCCAGAAGGCCCCTGGACCAGGGTTTAAACCAAGGACCTGCTCGCTGAGAGGCAGTAGCTCTACCAGTTGCGCCACTGTGCTGCGGTTATTGAGACCTTTGCAACCAAATTAGTTGTTTTTAATAATAAAGATCTTAAAGTACTGTCTTCATTGCATGTTGCTGCCCAACGGTTTGTGCCATATAAATTGGGGGCTCATCCGGGATTTGAACCTGGGCAACAACAATATTCTTTTGTGCTTAGTATATTTTTGGGCCACAATATTCAGACAAAAGATGAATAGATGGGGATATTTACAATAATGACATAAGAATTTAAAAAATAAATGTTTAAATATTTTGATTCGAACAATCTTGCAAGGATAATTGTACATAGGTTTTCAATAATTTGTCAAGTTTCTATAAAGTTTCTTGCTATTGTTGTTAGGCATTTTATACTATTTTTAAATTGTTCCGCTTCTATATGCTAACCAACTTCTGGCTGTAGATTCAAAATGACAAAAGCGGATCTAAAAGTATATCAATTTTCCTATTCAACTTTTTGCAAAAAGGCAGTTTCCAAAATACCCGTTTTTTTTAACAACTTCTAGAAGACATTAGTAGTTGTATTTGCTCTTGTTCTTGCACAATAAAAGCTAAAATAGAATTTTTAAAACATGCTTAAACGTTTGAGTCCGGCTTGCATTGAATTAGTTGTTGCTTGAATATATTTTAGTTTTGTTTGATCTTGTTTTATTTTTGTGGTTTTCAAAGCTATCAAAGGGTTTTTAAGCGTTTTTACAACTTCTGTTGCAAGACGATGTATTTTGGCTAACTTCTTTTAGGGAATTTTTCAAATGTAAAAAAGTTAAAAAGATATAGTTATGACGATAATGAAGCCTGCATCATTCAAGCAGAACAATAATAAATATTGTTTTGGAAACCAACACAGGTATGAATAAAAGATAATAAAAAGGTGCTTGAATTATTAGCCTAGTTGGGGTCCTACCTCTACAATTCCATGGCTGATAGTGCCATAAGGCTTCCTGCGCACCAGCAGCAGACTGATGACCATCACCATGGCAATAGCCACAGCCACCACCAGCAACCCCACCATGGCGCTGCGGTTAAATGTCTCCAGCGCATCCGGTTGCTTTGGAAATAAATATAAATGGAACTTTAACAGTAGAAATATGGATAGGCAAAACGAAATGTGTCATTTTAGTTTAGTTTTAAATTAAACATATTTTTCTTTAAGAAAGCAAACATTTATATATATATAAAAAAGAAGTTCTTACAAGTTCATCCCTTGCAATCTCATTAGGCTTGATCGCCTGCTTGAGTTCTGCAGAGGTGTTGATCTGAAAAAACACAAACAAAAAAAAAAACAGGAAATTCGTGAGAAAATTATAGAAACACTGAAAATAGATTGCGCTAAAAGTGCACTTTCTTGCGTCAGTGCTTTTTGCATAGTTATCTAAGACTGAGTCAAATTCAAAGCTTAAATGTTGATCATTTTACCTTTTCTTCATTCTCATACGTAGGGCTACGCTCAGATGTGTTGTAGTCATATTCATCCTCTACAGACATAAAGAGAGAGATAAAAAAAGTCTTAACTATTTGCAAAGGTAAGAAAAATTTGCAACAATGAAAATGGAGTCAAACTTTTATTGTTAAAGGTTTTAAATGTTAGCTGACCTTTCTTATTAGGCTGCACATCTGTGGAAATAAAGGGGGAAAACAAGTAATGAAAAAAAATCTCATCTGAAGTGGTTCAGGTTTTAAATGCTCACTTTCAAAATTAGGAAAGACAACAGATTATAGCTTTGTGGGCATTTGCAGGATTATTAGTTGAATTAGTACCAATGTGAGGAGGATAAGGCCTCTCTTCTTCCTCCTCATCATCCTTCTCTTCCTCGCTCTCGGCTGGCAGGAGCTCCTCAGTGGTGCGAGTTTCAGAGATGGAGGTGGTCATCAGCTCGCTGATGTCACCTCGTTCCGCCTTTACTAGTTCCTCTAAAAGGAATGCACAAAAAAAAGAGCTAATTTTCAACACCAAGATGAAAAATAACACTAGTAACTTCAAAACAAGAATATACAGTAGTTTGTAAAATTTGAAACTCAATAAGTGTCATTAAGCTTACGAATGTCATCATGCAGCTCCTCAGCTAATGTGGGGTCCTTGTACAGCAGAGCAAGACTTTGGTTCATCCTTTCCTCAATCACATGGAGATGTGTGTACACCTGTAAAACAGAGGAGCCCAATAAGAAAATAAGCCTTGTTGTGTGTTTAAAATTGTCAACACATGTTTCCAAAAGAGGGAGGAACATTGAGTGACCTATAAGAGTGGAGGAAGGAGTATGCAGGTTGACTACATTCTGTGTAGAAGAGGAAACCTGAGGGAGATTGGAAACTGTAAGGTTGTGGCAGGGGTGAGCGTGGCCATACAGCATTGGATGGACTGGACTACTACAGCAACAGTAATTAGAGAGACAGGTAGAAAGGTACTTGGTGTGTAATCTGGACAGAGAATGGCGGAAACCTGGTGGTGGAATAGTGAAGTTTGAGAAGTAATTCAGAGAAAGAGGTTAGTCAAGAATAAATATGACAGTGAGAGGACTGAAGAGAGGAGACAGGAGATGCAATGTAGAGCAAAGAAGGAGATATCTAAGGCAAACCAGAAGGTGTATGATGAGTTTTACGGGAGAGCATACTAATTGGTGAGACAGTGGGATCATGCTGGAAAGGATGTGCAGCAGTTTAGGCTTGTTAAAGATAAGAATGATAATGTTCTAACAAGTGAAGAGAGTGTGATGGAAAGATGGAAGAAGTACTTTGAGGAGCTAATGAATGAAGAGAATGAAAGAGAAAGAAGAGTAGAGGTCATAGAAACTGTGGACCAGGAAGTGGGAAAGATTAGTGAGGGTGAAGTTTAGAAAGCTCTGAAAAGATTGAAGAAGGGGAAGGCAGTAGGACCTGATGACATACCAGTGGAGATTTGGAAATGTCTTGGAGAGATGGCAGTGAGGTTTTTGACTCAAATATTCAATGGCATATTTGAGGGTGAGAAAATGCCCGAGGAATGGAGGAGAAGTGCTGTTGTCCATTTTTAAGAACAAGGGTGACATACAGATTTGTAGCAACTACAGGGGAATGAAGTTGACGAGTCACACGATGAAGATCTGGGAGAGAGTTGTGGAAGCAAGACAGACGAGAGGTGACTATTTGTGAGCAGCAGTATGGCTTCATGCCAAGAAAGAGCACCACATATGCCATCTTTGCTTTGAGGATGCTGATGGAGAAGTACAGAGAGGGTCAGAAAGAACTCTGTGTCTGTGGATTTAGAAAAAGCATATGACAGGATGCTGAGGGAGGAGGTGTGGCATTGCATGAGGAAATCTGGAGTGGCAGAAAAGTATGTTAGACTGGTATAGGATATGTATGAGGACATTGCTCTGGTGATGGACCGACTAACAGATGAGGTCAGGCAGGAATCCCCGTGGACTATGATGTTTACAGATGATGTGATCTGTGGTGAGAGCAGGGAACAGGTGGAAGAGATCTTGGAGAGGTGGATGTATGCACTTGAAAGAAGAGGAATGAAAGTAAGACAGAGTACATGTGTATGAATGAGAGGGAGACTGGTGGAACAGTGAGGCTACAAGGAGCAGAGTCCACAAAGGTGCAGGACTTTATGTACTTGGGGTCCACTGTCCAGGAAAATGTGGAGTGTAGTAAAGAGGTGAAAAAGAGAGTCAGGCAGGGTGGAGTGGATGGAGAAAAGTTTCAGGAGTGATTTGTGACAAAATTGTGTCAGCAAAGGTCAAAGAAAAAATTTACAAGACAGTTGTGAGACCAGTTATGTTGTATGATCTGGAGACAGTGGCATTGACAAAAAGACAGGAGAAAGAACTGGAAGTGGCAGAAATGAAGATGTCGAGGTTCTCCTTAGGAGTGACAAGGATGGATAATATTAGGAATGAGATCATCAGAGGTACAGCACAGGTTGAACAACTGGAAGATAAAGTTAGAGAGGTTTCTGAGACGGTTTGGACATGTCCAGAGGAGGGACAGTGGGTATATTGTAGAAGGATGTTAGAAATGCAGCTGTCAGGAAAAAGACAAAGAGGAGATATATGGATGCAGTTAGAGAGGACATGGAGGTAGTTGGAGTGAGGACAGAGGATGCAGAGGACAGAGTGAGATGGAGGAGGATGACTCGCTGTGGCGACCACTGAAGAGGGAAAAGCCGAAAGAAGAAGGAGACCAAGAAGAAGAAGTGTTCAAATTGCTTTTAAAACCAGCTTTGATCTTCCTTTAACTGAAAGAAGTTTGATCACTGATTTAGGGGCAGAATAAGTTTTTTTTATGTTGTTCTTCAGAGCATAATGTTCTGGGAGCTGGCACGGTGGCACAATTGGTGTTAATTGCTGTTGCCTCTCAGCAAGAATGTCACTGGTTCAAATCCCAGCCCATGACCTTTCTGGGTGGAATTTCCATGTTCTCTCTGTGCATTCGCAGGTTTTCTCCTGGTACTCCAGTTTCCTCCCACAGACCAAAAACATGCATGTTAGACTGATTGGTAACTAAATTGTCCTTAGGTGTGAGTGAGAGAGAGAATGGTTGTTTGTCTTGTTTGACTCTATGTGGCCCTGTGATGGACTGGAGACTTGTCCAGGGTGTCCCCCGGACATGGACACCAGTGACCCTCGTGACCCCAAAAGGAAGAAGTGGGTAAAGATAATGGATGGAAGGAGTTTCACTGTCAGAAATCCTCCTCACATCTCAAAAGCCCTCACCTGGAATTTCATCTGCTCAGCTTTCTGGGGGTCGACAGCCTCTATATGCTGGTAGTGCCTTAGTGTGTGTCTGCGGTCCTTCTGCTCAGCTGCCATGTAACGCTTTAGAGCCTGCAGCACCCGCTCAGGCTGGAAGATAAAAGATCAAATTTGAGAGAGGAAGGAGACAGAAAATATAGTCAGAAAACATGGAGTTTTTTGCAGATAGATTAATTTTCTCTCAATTTTCTACCCTTGTCTGCTCTGCAGGACAGATTTACCTGAGGGGGATCAGATTGCACAGCAGTCAGGTAGTTCTCCAGGGCCAGGCGACGATTGTTGTTGAGAATGGCCTCAACTCTTTCAAGATGAGTCTCCACCAGTCTCTGCCTTTCCCCAGCGACCTGCTCCTCCAGTGTCTGCAGCACCGACTGGAAATGCTGGTTCAGACAAAATGAGTTGGTTGATATGTGAATGACCAAAGCAAATGTCCATTTTACCTCTACCGCAGTGTGATCTTTTTAGAAAAGTGTTTGAAACCGATCTAGAAATATCTTCTTACCTCATTCAGAGCCTGACGCTCAGACTTAGGCAGATTTTTGGATTGGTTGTCAGCCTCGGCCCATTCCTTCATGATCTGAGTGATAAAAAGCAAAAATTAAAAGGATTAATCTAAAAGTATATAAATATGCCTTATATGTGTCCATTCAAAAAAAAGCATCATCGTACACTAGGAAATTTGTAAACAAAATTTACACAAAATACAAAACAACTCCCTTAAAAAAACTCAGAGCTGAGTATATTTATTGATGAAGGACTGTCAAATACAGAAAAACGTAAGAATTATTTAGATAACCCATATCAATTTCTGACAGAAATTTCCTGTCATGTTGTATTATACATACATGTCAAGACTTATGGATTTTCTGTAAAAGATACTGATTTTTCCCCATTTTTATGACAATAGACATACAGATAATGTCTTACAGATTTTTCAAAAACTCAGCTTAAAATTTATTTTACATTTCAGAGTCAGCTTGTAAGCAAATGTTATGGTTTTAAAATGTTAATTTTCTCTAGTTGGCTATTGTTCGCTCCACTTCAACAGTCAGTCATGTTTTATTTATTACATTTGTAAGCCCAGTTATTTACTTGTTCTGTTAGTTCATATCAAGAACAGAAGTCAAACAAGGCCTGCTGGCCAGATCTGGACCTTGTTAACGTTTATTTGGCCTCCAAGAGAAACATTTAAAAGAACCTCTCATATTAAAGAAGATAAAAAATTAGATTTAATTAAAATCCTAAATGTAGCTCTTAGATATAGTTATTACATCAGCCGTATTGGTCCCTGGTGGTTTTTATTTGACTATTTTCACTTTTTCATTGCAAACACAGAAGACAAGTTAACTCTGTGTATTAAACATTTCTTTGATTGTACTTAAATAAAAAGAAACGTGCTGGGTAAAACCATATGTATGCTACAAAAATATATTTAACAAAAATGAATTTAGTAAAAGCAGGCATGTAAGTTAAATTGTATTTTGTATTTCTATGTATACTTGAGGGTATAATTATATATACATACTGTATAACATCATAATGTATTGTCTTGCATTATATTGGCTCTAGGATGAATTCTTGTCTTATCTTGAACGTAAAAGACACCCATCCATTATTTAAGCATTTTACTGTTAAAGGTTTGTAAGCTCAAACATCCAGGTAGATAACAACAAAAAATTTTAAATCATGTCATCTGGACCAGTTTCTTTAAGTGAGAAATGCTTTGTCTCCCATCTGGAAGACTTCATCAGTCTGCAGCCTGCCAACCAGATCTGTCCCATAAGTAGCCTTCATTGCTGTGTGTCAAGCCAACCTCCTGTTGGAATCCCAGAAGCAGGCTTTGAACACATGCAAACAAGGCACACCCGTCCAAAACATTCAATCATCATGTATAGCAATCAAATGTTTAAGGCCAGCTGGCCGACTTGCTACCTGGCTACCTATGGGGCAGATCTGGTTGACAGGCCGCAGACTGATGAAGTCTTCCAGATGGGAGACAAAATGTTTCTCACTTAAAGAAACTGGTCCAGATGACACAGTTTAACTATTTTTTTTGTCATTTTACTGTTAATTATTTTGATAAATGAACACTTTGTCTAGTCTTTTTTTGTCAGAAAAGGGCCAAAGCATGTCTGATAATCCAAAGAGATGGCAACAGAACGAATGCAAATGCATCCTTCCTCACTTTTAACCTTTTTCATGTCATGTCACATATTTCTTTCTATATTCTTCCCTAAGGCAGGAGAATCATGTCCAGGCCAACTGATTGTCAAAGCAAGTTTCAGTCCTCATTAACGAATCACAAGTGAAAAGTGTGGCCTGCTGCCTGGCAAGCTATTAACCTGCTCTCGGCCCTGTATAATTCACCTCATTGATGCGCTTCATCCTGCGCTCCTCCAGGTCTGTTTTGGCACGCAGGAAGTTGGCATGCTCTGTGTCATCAACTGGCTTCTCGAAATAAACATCAACGCCATCTGTGGGCCGAGGCGTGGTCACTGGACGTGGAAAAGAACAGAAAACGGGTCGTTAAAATCACACAAGCTGCTCGAGCCAGACAGCAGTTATCAGATGATTAAATGGGAGTCCAAACATTAATTGAACATTCCCACAGTTGAAAAACATTTTTTAAATCTGAATTGAGACTTATAACACTGCAGCATTTATTTAAACCCCAAAAGAAGTTGCTATGTTGTGTAAAATGTAAATACAAACTGAATGTAGTATTGTATCTACAGTGGAGCGCAGTAAACATCAAATAGTTAAACTAAGAATTTATACAGTTTTTGAGGAGAAATAGGGTAATTCTGAATTTAATGGCAGCAATACACCTCAAAAGGTTGAGGTGAGACTGCACCATGTTTACTTCTGTGAAGCATCCCTCCCTTTCTCACATTTCTCACACATCTCTCTTGTAAAAGAGTCCTCGAGGCTCAATGGGATTAACCTGGTTAAATAAAGGTTGAATGAATTAGTCTGTACAAGTTAAGGAACCAAGGACAACAGTTGCTGGAGGTTTCAGAGAGGAATGTTGTACCATCCTTGTCTGGCGCCGGATTCTAGCTAACAGTCCTGTTTGTTTGTTTGTTTTGGACAGATATTTGGTTTAATGATGCATGAAATATTTTATAGTGACTGGTTTGGACTGCAAGCAGGCCAGTTCAGGTCACCCAGACTCTTCTACTACAAAGTCATGTGACTGAAACGACTGCAGTACGTGGTTTAACGTTGTCTTGTTGAAATATGCGAGTCCTTCTTGTGGAAAACATGTCATCTGGATGGGAGCTTACATTGTTCTAAAATTTGTACATCTTTTTCACATTCCATGCCACTAACATGTTCTCATACCATGACAGAGGCGGGCTTTTGAACTGTGTGCTAATTTTAATATTACATTATACAGTAGTCCCTCGCTACTTGGCAGTTCATTTTTCGTGGACTCGCTCTATCGTGGATTTTCAAAGTAAGATTGGACACGACACACAGTTGGCTGATTGATGGATGAGCCGCAAGATCGGCATGGGATTTTTATTTAAAATAAATTATTTTAAATTATATAGCACCAGTGTGCAGCCCAAGCTGCAGGAGAACCTTCCTCCTGCAGCTGATCAGCTAATCTCCTCTATGCAGCGGAGAAGTAGGCGTGGCCAAGAGTGCTGGTTGATGGCTGAGAGCAGTGGAGGCAGAGAGCTGGAATCATGACATTCTGTGCTCTTTTAGAGCTTTTGAGTTTAAAAACATTGTTTAGAACATTGCAAGAGTGTGAGAAGGGTTTAAAACACTATATATAAACGCTATATACTACTTACTACTTGTACTACTATTCCTACTTCGCGGTTTTTCACTTATCGCGGGTCTTCAGGGTACGGATCCCCTGAGATAAACGAGGGACTACTGTTTTACCTGTGAAATACTTATTTATACGAGCATTCAATATTGACCTATGACCTTATGTGCTCTGCAGATTAAGGTTCAAGGTTCTTTATTGTCATTTGCATCACACGTGGTACATAAGGTGGAACAAAATTGTATACTCAAGGTCCCAGTTACACCCAAAAATAGCAAAAACATAAAGTCCATGAAACACTTTGATGATATTATGAACTGTAAATGATGTAACATTCAAAGTATTCCTAATTTTCTCTTGGGGAGTAATATTCTGAAATGGTTCCACTATGTTTTGACAAAGCTTTTAGCAGACTGGTGAACGTCTGCCCATTTTTACTTCTTACATTTATACTACTTACTGAGAGAATCAGCTTCTCTAAAATGCTCTTTTTATACTTTGTCCTCTTACTGACCTGTTGCTAATTAACATGATTTGTTGCCAAATCCTCCTCCAGCTGTTTTTTAGTCCTGCCACCTACTCTTACAGCCTTTTGTTCCCCTTGTTCGTCCCTAATTTATTAAAACGTGGTACTGCCATCAAACTGAAAAATTATCTTATATTTCCTTAAAAAAATACTAATTCTTTGTTTAAATATTTAATATGATAAGTATGTTTTATTGTTAATAACATGTGGGTTTATGAGATTTGTAAATGATTGCATTCTTTTTTCTTTTTTTTTTACATTTTAGACAATGTTCTGACTTTTCTAGAATTGGGGTTGTACAGAAAAGATTTTTGACTCCCTGATTCAAAGAAGATAAAAACAAAACTTAGGTCTCTATAGCGAACTTTTGGGTTAAATAGACAGAACAAAACAAAATGGTAAAGCTCAGGATGAGGCAGAGAAAGCACTCACAGCTGTCTCCCTTGATCAGTGGTGCAGATGTGGAGGGCTTGTGGCCTTTCTCGTAGTAAAATGAGCCCAAATAGTCGGACGTCTGGTACGGACCTGAGCCGAAAGAGTACTCATACTCTTCTGGATCCTTAGCTGCCATTGCTTCGTCTTCTTCCTCTTCTTCTACCTCCTCTTCATCAACATCGTCCTCCTCTTCACCCTCTTCTTCTTCTTCTACTACTTCATCATCCTCTTCCTCCATGTCAGCCTCGTCCACATCTGTGTCAGGAGACGGACTTGGAGTGGGAGCTGTCACTTTGGTGCTGCGGGGAAAAAAAAAACGTTCATTTTTAACTCTAATGGCTTCCACATTCAAACATGTCGTCTCCTGCAGTTTTTCCATATGGAGCAGCTGAAACATCTTACACGGAGTTGAGTTTTCCACTTGTCTGGGATGTGAGGGTCTGAGGAACGTCGAGCACGTCTCGCTCCTCGGTCTCTCCTCGACTGTTTGAACTGCCTCTGCCTGGGCAGCACACATATTCCACGCCTCGGAAGTGGTCCCCACACGGCAGCAGCATCCCGTAGCTGTGCAGCTCCAGGTTTTCAGCGGTGCATTCCTGTCACGAGCAACATAGAAGCAACATGTTTCAGATCGTCCACACTGTGCTGATACTTGTTTCTCACAAAAAGTCCTGAGGATAAACAAATAAAATTAGATCAGCTTTTGCAAACACTCATAAAAATAAGGAAATAAAGGCCTAGCTTTTTTTTTTCTTCAAAGAATGCATGTTGCCTACATCCTTTCATGGCAGAGCTTTAGACTTGTAGTGTGAATATTTATGAAGCATTCACTCTATTGTGATCCATTTGTCTTACGTATCTTTTTCAGCATCTTTCTTGTTCCACAATTTTTGTGCTATTTCAACAAAACATATCAAAACGTTCAGGAGAAGGGTGTTATGACTTTTGGTTTTGGTGCACCTTTAGCTTTTTGATATATTTAGTCTTTTCTGCCACTTTTTTCTCATAAAATAAGAATTGAGCTCATTTTACATCCTTCACATCTTTAGATCTGTTTACAACCTTTTACTGCTCCTTTCACATTTTGTTCTGGTTCAGCTTCTTTCAGACTCCTTGTGCAAATTTGAACTTTTTTCCAGCTACTTTCAGCTACTTTCAGTTGTTTTTTTCCCAGCTGTTTTACACTTATTTTAGATTCTTTCTTGCTAACTAAAACATTTTTGTGCTTCAACTTATTTCTGCTAATTTCAGCTTGTTATGCTCATTTCAGCCCATTTCTACAAGTTTCAGCTTTTTTTGGCTATTTCAGCTACTAGCTGTTCTTATGCTAATTTTAGCTTTTTCAGCTAAATCTAAATGTTTTGTACTCATTTCAACTCTTTTCAGCCTAATTCAGCACAAATGTGTTCTCTCCACTTCCTTCTGGTGATTTAAGTTTCTTTTTATCTACATTTCAGCTGTTTTGTGGCTAATTTCTGTTTTTTTCTCCCAAAGAATTTTCACTTTTTGTGTTTGTTTCTGTTTCTTTCAGCCTAATTGGGCAAACTTGTGTTCTTTCTTATTTCTTCTGCTAATTTAAGCTTGTTCTACATTTTCAGCTACCTTTAGAGCATTTCTTAACTAATTTCAGCTGCTTTCTGATAAATTCAAGTTTTTGTGGTAATTTATGCTGCTTTCGGCCTAAATAACTTATTTCTACTAATTTAAGCTTGTTATGCTCTTTTCAGCTTACTTCTACTAGTTTCGGTTATTTTAGCTACTATTTAGCTGCTTTTTCAGCTAATGCCACTTTTTTATAGCTAATTCAGCTCTTTCCACTTGCTTCTAGTAGTTTAAGCTTCCTTCCACCTTTTCAGCTACTTTTTTTTGTTGCTAATTTCAGCTTTTTATAGCTAGTTTCATAATTGTTGTGTTCATTTCTGCATATTTAAACCTTTTTCAGCAAATGTGTGTTCTTTCTGCTTTCATCTGCTAAGTTAGGCTTGTTCTTCCTTTCCAGCTAAAGTTCAGCATGGTTTTAGCTCTAATTTCAGCTGATTTTCAGCAAGTTCTTCAGCAATAAGCATTCACACTGCATTTTTGCAGGAAATGCAATTTCTCTAGTTTTAGTTAATGTTGAAAGAAAATCCTCAACATAGCCATTTGCTCAGCGTATGTGTTGTGAGTGACTGAGCTACTACACCATATTTTTGAGTTTGTTAAAGTCTCGAAGCTGTGGCAGCCATCTTGAATTGTGTCAATTGCAAAGGTGACTCAGATCTAGCTGTAGATCAAAAGATTACTTTTTGGAAGTTTCATAAAAATCCATCCAGCGTTTTATGAGAAATATTGCGAACAAACAAACAAACAAACAAAAAGAGGCATAGAAACATTATTGTCCACCCTTTATCTTTCTGTGGCAAGTAATAAAAACATAATCCCAATAAAAACTGCCCCTCGAGGCTTTATAAATGTTTGTATTTATCAGATCGTAACTGCAGACGCTTTTCTAAAAAAAAAAAAAAAAAAAGGTCAAACTCACCTCCTTGGCGATGTTGTGCCAGTAGATGTAGCTCTCACAGGCATCCATCTGCTCCTGATGGAGGAAGCGGCATCTGTCAGGCACCAGCAGGGCCTCGCTGACGTACTCACCTTCTGCGGCGGGATTAAAAACGAGGTGAGGTCAGTGCATGAGAAGCTTAGCGTCAATTAAACTGAACCTCACGTCTCCATCTGAACATGAGGCACGTTTTAGCTAGGACTGAATAAATGAATATAAATGAAGATGGGCGAAACAAAGAGGCTCCCCGCATAGAAAATGTGAAATGATAAATGAGAATGTTAGTAATTATGTACTTTGAACAGACATACTGTAGTTTTAGCAGCAAATTTAAAGTCTTTTAACCAGAATAAATGAACAAAATGTTAGTTAGAGAAATCATAAAAGAACATCACTGTCCATTTTTCTTATAGTCTTTTAGCACCATCATTATATACTGTTTGAACGAAGGCTTATTAAAAAAATAAGGTACCCCCATCCCAAAGGCCACACAGAAGGTCCAACCCAGAACTCCTCTCTATTCATTGATCAATGAGCTTATTTGGCCCTCTAGTGGCTTTTAACAGACAAGACATCGTCACAATACTGCTGATCTAATTTAGATTTTTTGGTTTTTAACCTGAACAACTTTGTTTATTAATACTTTGAATCTGCCGTGACAAGGAGAAAGGTGGAGGAGTTGACTCCAACAGCTAATGACAAAGTTCCACTACCACATTTTTACCACGGTGGCAGACAACAGACGTTTTGTAAAAGATGTGAGCCAACATGCAGACCACCCCGGAGCCTGGGCACATGCATCGCTCTAATTATGACGTGACAGTGACGGGTGCTGTTCTTACCCAGGCAGCGGTAGGGCAGGACGATGAAGGGGTGCGTCTGGCAGCGGCCCCAGCCTTTCTTACACCAGGACGGAATGGTGACGGGTCTTTTTGATTCCTCTGTGTGTGAAATGGAGAGCGCTGGGTATACCTGAGTGTACAGGAACACACAAAGATACAGAAACTGAACAAATGGGAAAGGAAAATTAAACAGGGAAGACTTGTTTTTGATGATTTGATGAAACACAGTTTGTAACTTGCAACTCTGGGGCCACATATCTTTGACTAAAAGTACCACTGAAATTACTCATGATGTTTTGATACTACAAGGAGCAAAGGAGATTGATGGTAATAAAGTTCTATCTTATCTTATCTTATCTTATCTTATCTTATCTTAGTTGTGAGCCTTCTAGTTACTTCATTAATCCAACTTTCTGCCACATCTGTGAAATCCACCAGAAAATAAAACCTGTTCAACACAGCTGAAGGGAAAATTCTAAGTGTAACTTTTGCACAAGAGATTGAAATACAGGAAAGAATATAGTCTAAAAATATTAATATTTCAAAGTTAATATTGGCTTTAATTTAAAAAAGCCTAAAGGTCTTTAGCAATATTGGAGAAAATTTACTAAGGTTACTGTCACAATTAAATATTCCACAAAATGGATTCATTTAAAAACTAGCGCTAAAAATACATTTGTAGATTGTCTCATGTATGCTCAATTATTTTTAAATAGGATATTTTTTGTTAATAATTTTCCACAAAATGAAAAATAAACATATAGACATGCATAGTTCAGTATTTATATTGTGTTTAAGAGGCTTTTAAAGGAAAAAAAATAATTGTTTTCTTCTTCCATCATGTACAACTACCGGTAAATAAAAAAATGTTTATTATATATAATTAATGATCCAAGTATTTATTTAACAGTTAATGCTTCAAGTAGGTTTTATGGCTCTGGACAACTTTTATTTAGTAGGATATGGATAAAATGGCGCTTTTGATTGTAAAAGTTGCAAACTTGGGTTACAGGGAGGGACAGCAGAGTCAGAGGAAGGCAAACTAACATGTGGAATTATATATTATAAATATAAAAAGCTCACATTGTGGTTTGAAACAATAAATATGCAAGCAGCCCAGTCTAAAGGTGCACAACTGAGTGTTTATAATGTGCCATTTAATCACATTTAGGTGGTGTGGCAAACACCGTCTGTACTATGGAGGTCTTTTTGACCTGCAGATGGCGCTTGTCTGCCTTCATGGTTGTACTTTAAGTTATTCTTGAAGCAGGAGTGTGCTGAGTGTGTGTACCACAAACAACACACCTACAGAAGGCGAATACATAAATAAATACATATTTGATGGTGACAATGAAATACTGAAATATACCAGCTGCCCACCATCTCTTCAGTTAAATGTATAGATTTCATGTGGAAATTTAAAATTAGAGTGAACGACATGAAGTTTTTTTTTTTTTATTTCTTCTCAAATAAGTATATTTTTCGGTCATGCAACAGTCTTTCCAAACCATCACTGTGATCTGATAATGTTGCTATTAGTAACTGATCCAAGCTGATCATAAATGACGTGAACGTCCTACCTCCTGACAGTAGGACAGGATCTCATTGGGGTCCTTGAAGCAGCCCTGGCGACCCTGAGGGTCCGGCTCCCATTGACCGGTCTGCACGTTCATGTGCAGGAGCTGACGGCCACAGAACATGGCGATCTGCGGCTCCGCCAGCTGAGGGCCCGGCCCGTTCACCTCGGCCATGGCAAGGGCCTAGAGAGCACAGGGAGGAGGGAGAGGAGTTAATACACACACACACACACACACACATATAGTGGGGAAGAATATTGAGCTGATCCAGGGCAGATAATTCCTAAATGCACTCCAGCACTATCCAACATTAGAAGCATGTAAGTGCAAGAAGGAGAGGGAGGGTAGATCGAAACGTTGAACAGAGGAAGTAGAAGAAGCCAGTGCACAGGAGACTCAACTGCACGGCCGTTAGCTGTTAGAGGATTGAGGCAAGCCTGCAAATGTAAGGAACCAACGGTGGAACATGGAAGGCAGAAAATCTACACAAGCACATAAAAAAATTGCTTGCTTTCACCTTCTACTTTTGCATTCTCCTCCTTTTGCCATCTAGAAAGCAGTTATTGATTGGGGGATATGTTGCCTCTGCTTGAGGGGGGAGGGCCCAGGGGACCCCACACAGAGCAACAAACAGCAGCCGGGGCTGGGAGTCAGGTGTTAATACAAGCTCATTGACCGATGTGCCACTTCACTACATTAACACACGGCTCAGAGACAGAAAGAACCAAGGGAGGAATAAACGACGGGAGGGGTTGGGTAGATCTATAAACACCACAGACGACGACTTACTCCACTTTAACAGACAAAATAGAAATCCTACAGAGCCCTCTGGTATCATGAAAACAATATGGTTCACGTTTTACTGGATCACCAAGTCATCTCCGGTGTGTCTCCTGTAGGTTGTATATTTTTAAATGCCCGTGCGTTTCATGGGGCAACGTTTGACAAGCGATGATCATTTTAATCATCAAACCCTGAAACAGGGCATTTGAAACCTCAGAGCACTTCTGGCTCGTGTCCTTTCATCTGCGATGACGGACAGACACATAGACCAGCTGACGGCACACAAGACAACCAGCTCAGCGCCGACTAGAAACAAGATACCCACAGGGAAGAACGTGATGATAGAAAGAAAATAATAAAATATGAGAGTGACGCACGATCAAAGGAAAACCCCGTTCAGACCAAACAGAGCTGAAGTGTTTGAAGTCCTAATTAAAATTTATATGAGGTTAAATAAATATTTAAAGCCCTATGAGGAAATGTACAATAAATATAAAAAGCCCCGAGCAGCGAGCGCATTCTAATTACACTAAGAGTAGTTTGTGTTTCTGCATACCCAAGCAGATTATTATTTTTTTTATTTTACAAATTATTTTTCATAATGACTGACCACTTTCAAAAGCTCACCAGAGAATTTATAGCGTGTTTTTGTACTCACTGTTTAAATGAGTAAGTCCTTAAATAATTCAAAAACTAATTTCTAAACCTTTCTCTGGAGCAAACAGTCTTCATGTTTTAAAGCGATAATCGTGAAAGCGTGGTTAAGATCTAATTTGATTCTAATTTTCAAAATTTACTTTCTCTGCTGAGAATAAAGACAATTTTTATGCACCCATTTTTCTTTCTTATTGTGCAGTTTTCCTTTTGTACAAACTATAAAATGAATAAAATGCACTTATTTATAATTCTCATTGTACGCAACGTTAAGATACATGCAGTTTTTCAGAGTCAATGAACAGCATTAAAAATTAAGTAAGAATATTGGTTTAAAATCTATAGAAACTAAGTTTAAATCCTAAATAAGTCACAGAGTGGTGATGTTTCAAAGTGGATGTATGAGTACAGTAGTCCCTCGCTACTTGGCAGTTCGAAATTTGCCGACTACATAAAAATGTTCCAAACAAACAGAATTGGTTTCTCCACTAAAACCACCATTTAGGCACACGGTGGTCATCTGTGATAATGAGCAAACAAAATTCATTGCTGAACGTGATACAGTGCCACTCATAGTCATGGCTGTCTATATTCTGGTGATAATGGCAGACTACACATGGGATGGTGAATCTGTAGTCTGCTCATGTCAGTCATCAAGACACTGTGGGATGATGCAGTAAGTTGTAAAGAGTCCAACAGTACTTCACAACATATGTAGGTGCCTTCGTGTAAGATAAGATAAGATAGAACTTTATTGATCCCGCAGGAAATTAAGCCCCTTATCCACAGGTCCTTGTCAGGTCAGGCCGAATTGGGCCTTATTAGGCTGGTACTGGTAGAACCGCTTCATTTTCCCTATCCACAGTGCCCTTGTATGCTTTCAGTACCGGTTCCAGTGGGCGGGGTTCAAACTGAGGTCACACGCCTCACCAGCTGGTGGTGGAGAGATGCTGAAACAGGTTTCAGTGAGATTTTTTTTTTTAAGTTTCTGATAAATTAAAAAGATTCCAGATTATTAAAATGATCAAATAAAAATAAATATATATATATATATATATATATATATATA